TATGGACACAGTTTGTGCACAGGATCTTCTAAGAGCCCATTTTAGGGGGGTGGAGAGATGGCTCAGTGGTTAAGAGCACTGGTTGCCATGGAAGCTAACAACTGTCTGTAAATGCAGTTACAGGGGATCCAATGCCCTCTTCTGGCCTCAAAAGGCATTGTACACATAGGTGCATTTACATACATGTAGGCAAAACATTCACACACATAAAGATAAATAAGAAATTTTTCTAAAAAGCCTGTTTTTTTGTTTTGTTTTGTTTTGTTTTGGTCTTTTTGAGACAGGGTCTCTCTGTAGCCCCAGCTGTCCTGGAACTCACTATGTAGACCAGGCTGGCCTTGAACTCACAGAGATCCTCTGGCCTCTGCCTCCCCAGTGCTGGGATTAAAGGCATGTGCCACCACCCATTTTAATGAGGTTCTTCAGAGAATCAATGAAGATTCTCTTCTTGCATCATGAGTCAACATCTTCAGAGATTTTTCAAACCACATCAGATGCTGGATTTCCCTGTCTTTGAGGAGTCTAGTTTGAGTGAGAATCCTGTTAAATAAGATTAGAGAAAATCTCTGGAATGTATCATCTTGCCTACCTTCAGCAAGAATTCTGAAGGCAAGGAGACCTTTACCCCTAATAGTTCCTCTTCTACTGACTTGCCCCCTGCTTCCTGATTATAAATCCCCATTTGTCCTTGCTGGAGTCAGAACTGAACCCTAGGCTCTTCCCTACTCCAAGAGGCTCAGCACCCCTCTGCTGAGGTCCATCTACCTATCACCATGGTCCCCCTTTGAGTTGCTTTACTATATTAAAGGAGTGCTATGTGGTAGGAGGTGTAGCTCAGCTGCAGAGAGCTGGCTTATTGGGCTGACTTCCTAACAGTGCAAAAAAAATTAAAAATAAAGTATCATAACTGTTTTTCTTCTTTAACATTTTATTATACCAAGAAAGTAGATGGCAAGAACATATAAATCAAACATTTAGGTAATCAGAAAAACCACAGGAAACAATTAAAAGGAACTACATTCTTCCTTGGAAAATTCATCTCTAGTTGGGGAACTATCGGAAGGTACCTGGTTCATCTATCTTGTTACTGCTTTATACTTATCAAGGAGTTGTGTAGCAATAACCACTAGAAAGATGAAGGACTGTTATGATCAAGCCTTCTACGCAAACCCTCAGAAACAACTCTGGTGGAGAGAAGAAAATGCCAGTCATGTTAAGGCTTGTAGAGTTAGATCTCTTTCCAACACACAGACTGAACCACAAATGAGAAGTCATGAGAAGAGAAAAATTAGAGGCACATTTGTGGATCCTAGCACCAACTCCTTATAAATTAATACAGCTCTCAGACCTCATCAGAGATGTAGCTTTGTGTAGGGGATGGTAGTTAATGAAGAAACTCACACTGGTCAATGCAGAGAATAAGTGTCAATGGAGTGCTCAGTCACAAATAGGACATTTATATCATACCCCTTTGCAAGGCTCAGGGACTATCATGGAAGACAGGAAGAAAGAGAGCCAAAGGTCAAAAAGACTGGGACCAAAACAGTGTCTTCTAGACTGCTGCACTCATGAACTCAAAGCAGCTGTGGCTGCCTGCACAAGAACTGAACAAAATCAAGCCAGTGAATGTTCTAGCATGGAGTGGGAAGGAGTTCATGAGCCTCCATCCCTAACTGAGGAGCTGTGGACAGTTGATGGTTTCTGGGGGAGGGGGAGCATATGGCTCCTGGTAGGTGGACCATGCTTAGTGGATAGTGGATGGTTCCACATCCAGAGTATATGGACAGCACAAATTTGAGTTGATAGATTATTAAAAAAATAAAAGAGGACATGAAGTTGGGGTGGATAGGGAGATGGGGTGGATCTGGGGGAAATTAAGATGGGAAGGAGAATATGATGAAAGCACACTGTATGAAATTCTCATAGAATTAAGAATAAAAATGTGGGACTGGAGAGACGGCTCAGTGGTTAAGAGCACTGACTGCTCCTGCAGAGGAGCCAGGTTCAATTGCCAGCACCCACATGGTGGCTACGAACCATCCTTAACTCCAGTTCCAGGGGAATCCGAAGCCCTCTTCTGACCTCCGTGGCTGCGTTGCACATGGGTGCACTCAACACACATGCAGGCACTACACTTGTACACATAAAATAAAAATAAGTAAAAAAAAAAAAAAAAGGTTTTTAACATTAAAAAAAGCAGAGGCAAATGTATATGTCAGCTAAAGAGTAAATGCACACAAAATCAAAGGGAAAAACCTCCTTTATATGTGACTATGAAATAAAACTAAGGTAATTCACCTAATTCTTACAAAATTAAGAGTTTAGTTTCTCCACAGCATGTAACCATATCTCAAAGACGAGGGACATCTATTTAGGTGCTTCTTTCCCATCCCAGGGAAACCTGAACTCCTTCCTTAGGTTTTCTACTAAGAACAATGTTCCATTTAATAGCCATGTATACATTTGTTCAAAGGCTAGCTTCCAGCCTGCTGTTTGTGGGCATCTCAATAGCCAGCTTCAAACTGACTGAAACAAGACACAAAAGAAGTCTCTTATTATAAGAAACTTTTCTTTGTACTTGCACTTGGATTTGGAAGAGATAAGAGTGGAAGAAGGAACAGACAGACCATGGTGTGAAAGCTCTGTAGTACACATTATAGACGCTGAACAGAGAGGCAGTAAAGGGTTACTAGGCCATGGAAAAGACACAAGGAGGCAAATGCCCAAAGGCTGTCATTTGTCACAAGAACTCTGCTATTCTTTGTAAAATTAGCTGAGCAGAATCAGAAAAATAGAAATAGACCATAAAGAAGTTTGTTTTAATAAAACTTCAAAAGTAGAAGCAGATGGACCATGGAAAGCCACATCCTATTTGGAAACAAGATATGGAGTAAACTTACCCCATTTGTGAGCTCAAATTTCCCCACCTGTAAAGTGGTCTTAATGCTTGCTGATTTTAAAAAGCTTAAGCTATTGGTTAAAAGGCCCTTTGTGTTAGACAGTAAAGCAGCAAATTTATGAAAAAAATTGTTTTCCTTTCATGGCTGGTAATTTACAAGAGCATTCATTCACACAAAACATTTCACTTGTATAAAAAGTTTGATTAGGTATATTGTTAGATCTGAATGTGCTGCAAATTATTAGCTGATTTTTTTTGGGGGGGGGTCTTTTTTCAAACAGGGTCTCCCTGTAGCCCTAGCTGTCCTGGAACTCACTATATAGACCAGGCTGGCCTTGAACTCACAGAGATCCACCTGCCTCTGCCTTCCGAGTGCTGGGATTAAAGGTGTGCACCACCACGCCCAGCATTAGCTGATTTTTTAAACTTTTAAGGTTTTATGGATGGGGTTGCATTCTGGGGAGAGGTTGTCTGGGGAGAAGGGAGGAGAAAATTGAGAAAAGAAGAAGGTGAACAAAGGAGAAATTTTCTGTGACTCTGAGACCAGTTCTTCCTAGCAACCTTTTTTTGGGGGGGCAGTGTTGAGACAGGGTCTCCCTGTAGCCCCAACTGGCCTGGAACTCACTACTTAGACCAGGCTGGCCTCAAACTCACAGAGATCTGCCTGCTTCTGCCTCCCAAGTTCTGGGATTAAAGGTGTACATCACCATGCCCGGCCCTAGCAATCTTTTTAGAAAGTTAATTTATTAAAGTTTTTTGTTTTCTGAGAAGTTCATCCATATTGCAAAGGCACATATAAAATAAAAATATTTTTTTTTTAAAAAAAAAGAGGAGAATGGCCAGGTGTGCTGGCACTTGGGAGGCTGAGGCAGGCAAATCTCTGTGAGTTCGAGGCCAGTCTGGTCTACCTAGTGAGTTCTAGGATAGCTGGGGCTACAGGGAGACCCTTTCTCAAAAAAAAAAAAAAAAAAAAGAAAAGAAAAGAAAAGTGGAGATAAATTTAAGCTATTATTAACAGGAAGGTACTCCTTTGGCTTTAATGTTTTGTATGGAATATTAAAACTTTCTTCCTGAAGAAATACATGAAACTGAAGATAGCAATATTTGTTATTTCCAAAAATTTCTTCAGAGGGCTAACAAGGACCTATGACAGATGGTAACAAATATAAAGTAGAATTCTCATTTCAGAAAACATTCTTAAAATCAGACATACTTAATGTTTTTTGATGCAAGCTATATCACTTCTACCATATCACATAAATACAGAATGGAGAATTCACTGCTGATATAAAATCTTCTCTAAGAGCCACAATGCTTTCATAAGCATCAAAAGAGCATCAAGTAAAATTAACTGTTTGTCAGACTGGTAACAGAAATACATTTTAGTTTTCTTGTTTGCTTTTCTTTTTGAGACAGGGTGTCGAATAGCCTCAAAATTGATATGTAGCTAAGGATGACCTTGAACAACTAGTTCTCCTGCCTCCACCTCCCAAATGAGAGGATTACAAGCATGTGCCACAATGTCTCCCTTCTGCAAAGACTTTGGAAAGTAAACCCAGCAAAAACGAAAATGTGAACTCTCTTAACTGGTCAACACTGCCCTCTGGTGATAGAAAATAATAATCTAATATCACAAGACAAAACAGACTTGAAATGATCTTCATTATCTATTGTATGTTAAATTAGAAATTCTTTCAAACAGTGCTAAATCAAGGACACTTACTCTGTAAAGAGCAAGTAGTTCTTAAATATGCTGTTAAGAATCATTACTACTAGTGAATTACATTCCCACATAAAGTGATACAATTCAAGAAAGACCCTGAAGGCACACATCCTCTGAGTTAAAAGGCCAGCCAGTACACAGTGAAGAAAGTCTCACCATGTATGAAAAAAGAAATTCACAAGAGGGAGCCAGCATAGTTTTCAGGGTGTGCATACCTAACACACTGAAATGTGTCTATGGAAACCAGAGCCTCCTGCGCTAGCAGCACTGCCCCCTTGAAGACTGACTTCTTATTTAGAGGAAAACCTCAACCAGAAAAGTACAGATGGCTGCTAAATTTTCATTAAGTGAAGGAAACGCTTCACAAAAAAGACTCACCAAGGCTGGTGCCATCCTGCCCCATGATGCACTTCATGGAGGTGATGATCTGTTCCACCACAGGTGGTGACAAGGATGTGGCATACACAGCACTATGAGAATGTGTGCGCAGATAGTCTATCAGCTCCTGGAGAGGCAGAGACAGATAATTAGAGGCAGTTCTTGAATCTACAGCGATGCAGGTACCTTCCTTCCAGGTGCTACTGGACTCTTCCCTTCAACAGCCTGGAACAGGGTCACCAAGCTGAGGCTCAAGGCCAACCAATACTACCAAAGCTACAACTGTCAGAAACATGGCAATATCTTAGGCTTTGTTTTGGCTTTAAATTTTATTCTAATATATCACTCTATAGAACAAATCATCCAATGTTAAAAAGTAATGTACAACTGGGCATGGTGATGCATGCCTTTAATCCTAGCATTCGGGAGGCAGAGGCGGGTGGATCTCTGTGAGTTCAAGGCCAGCCTGGTCTACATAGTGATTTCCAGGACAGCTGAGGCTACAGGGAGACTCTGTCTCAAAAAGAAAAAAAAAAACAAAACAGTAATGTACAAAACTGAATTAAGAAAATATTGAAATTGGCATAGCAACACATCTTTGATCCCAGGGCTCAGGAGGCAGTAGCAGGCAGATCTCTGTAAGTTCGAGGCCAGCCTGGTTATATAGTGAGATCCAAGCCAGCTAGGGCTACACAGTGAAACTCTGTATCAAAAGGAGGGAGAGAAAGAGAGAGGAAGAAGGAAGCACTTAATGGCCTTTTGAGCCTGTGCTATGGCACTGAGGATCAAACCTAGGGCCATACACTTGCTGGATCAGCTCTTTACTACTGAAGTATAAGCCTGACCCAAGTTTTTTATGTAACAACTTTATGAGGTATAAACCACATTCCATCATATTCACCTTTGTAAAATATACAACTCAATGACTTTTGGCATAGTCTGAGCTGTGCAATTTTCAACACTACCTAATTTTAGAGCACTTTCATCACCCTGGAAAACAGTCACTTTCCATGCCTTCCATCCCCTCAGCCTTGGCAACTACTAATCTACTTGCTGTTTCTATGCGTATTCTGGATACAACTTGTAAAAAAGAAAACCATCATAACATATATATATATACACCATCATAGCCAGGCGTGGTAGCGTACACCTTTAATCCCAGCACTTGGGAGGCAGAGGCAGGCGGATTTCTGTGAGTTCAAGGTCAGCCTGGTCTACATAATGAGTTCCAGGACAGCTGGGGCTACAAGGAGACCCTGTCTCAAAAAGACAAAAAACAAAACAAAACAAAAAACCCATCATATACGTGACTTTTTGTGATTTACCTCAGTTAATACGTTTAAAATGTACCTGTGTTGTAGCACAGGCAGGAATACATATTTTTAAACACATCACAGTATTACAAGCAAGGCATATTTATCTATACTGACAAGAAAACTAAAAGGTTAAAAATGCTTTCCCCAAGGACTCCCAAAGCAAGCAAAGACACACTCAAAAGCAGGTGTTTTCCATGGTTCATGCTACAGAGTCTTAGCTGTCTTAGAGTTGAATATAATTTTAAAATTGAAAACTAAAGGCACTGTGCAGTGCCTTAAAGCTAACAAAACCTCCTCTTGTTTCTACATGCATTCACAATAGGCAGGGCAACTAATCTTCCGTTCCCATTGGCCTGCATGACAACTCTTTGAAAGTGTGAGCACAATGCCAATCCAACAGAAAACTGTGGTAAACAGGAAACACCACTGTGTGTTCTTTCACAAGAGACTATTCTATATCTCAGACCAGAATACAGTTTAAAAAGCTCAAATAAGCAAACAATGAACAGAATCAGCCTTTAGCTCAATAAGGTGACATAAGAGTCATTCCCCAGGCAGATGAAGTCCACCTGCACTAAGAACATAAGCCATACACACTCAGGATTGTCATACCCCAGTTCAGGACTCCACCAGGTAGACAGTTCCCAAATTCAACAATTTCTCCTGGCCTCAAGTCCTGTTTACCTTCTTGCCTCCAATGTATCCTCCAGAAGCACCAAAGCTCTTTGTGAAGGTTCCCATCATAACATCTACATCCTCAGGATCCAGGCCAAAGTAGTCTACCACACCTCGACCTGAAGGGCCAAGGGCTCCGATGCTGTGTGCCTCATCCAGATACAAGTATGCCTTGTACTTCTTCTTGAGGGCAATCACTTCAGGAAGACGAACAATAGAGCCCTCCATGCTGGCAAAACAGGGTTTAAAACCACACATATTGAGACTTTTTAACTCTTCAAATAGAATTGGTCACTTTATTTTTAATGCTTTGAGATTATTGCTTTTCAGATGGTCTGACAACTCCACATATGGTTTTAAACTAAGGTGGTGCTCTGATGGGGTAGATGTCTAGGAGGCAGGAACTTGACTCTTAAGATAAGTGTTACATTATAAATGACTTTATTTCACAACTGAAAGAATTAAAGATACAGCAGTTTCTTTTTATTTGTATGTTTGTTTTTGCGGTGCTAAAGATAAAATCTACAGCCTGTGTTAGCTAGGCAAGCCTCTACCACTGAGCCACATCCCTAATCCTTGAGATCCTTCTAAAGTTTGCAATTACAGGAAATATTAGATTGTGCTTTCATTGTATATGCAATTAAAATTATCTAAAATAATGAAAATAAATAAATAATAATGATAATAATAATGAAAGAATAAGCCAGGCGAGGTGGCGCACGCCTTTAGTGCTAGCACTCAGGAGGCAGAGGCAGGCAGATGTCTGGGAATTCCAGGCCACTTGGGGCTATAGGGAGACCCTGTCTCAAAAAAAAAAAAAAAAAAATAGGGCTGTCAAATCAACATAAGAAAAACATCTTAAAATTAAAATACAGAGGGTTGGAGAAATGGCTCAGAAGTTAAGAGCACTGGCTGCTCTTGCAGAGGTCCTGGGTTTGGTTCCCAGCACCCACACGGTAGCTAACAATCATTCAGATGATCTGACACTCTTCTTGGCCTCTGCAGACATTGCATGGCATGGGTATACTTGCATGCAGGCAAAACACAAACGTAAAATAAAAATAAATAAAAAATTAAAATACAGTTTAGCATGGTGGCATATGCTGGTAAATCCCAACAACCAGGAAGTGGAGGCAGGAGGATCAAGGTTAAAGCCAGCCTGAGCTAGAAGAGATCTTATTTCAAAAAGTAACGAAGTAATTTATTTTATTTATTTTGGTGTTTGTTTTATGCAGTACTGTAGACTGAACTTGGGGCCTGATACATCTGAGATAGGCGCACTACCACATGCTCAAGTCTTGCTGTACAGCCCCCCCGCCACCCCAAGCTGGGCCTATAAAAATGGTTCTCCTGGGGCTGGAGAGATGGCTCAGCGGTAAAGAGCACTGACTGCTCTCATGGAGGACCCGGATTCAATTCCCAGCACCCACATAGCAGCTACGAACTGTCCTTAACTCCAGTTCTAGGGGAATCTGAAGCTCTTCTGACCCCTGTGGTACTGCACAACATGGGTGCACTCACATACACGCAGGCAATATACTTGTACACATAAAATAAAAATAATAAATAAAAATATAAAAAAAAAAAAAGGTTCTCCTGCTTCAGCCTCTTGAGTGCAGGAATTACAGGTGTGTGTTACCATGCTTAGCTTTGTAATTTGTTTTAATATATTAGAATCTTTATTCTTGTCTCAATGTGTAAGTTTTCTACAAACAATAAAAAACAAAACAAAACAAAAAAAAAAAACCAGAAGAGGTATTTGGGAACTATACAAACAAAATGACCTTTATGTTCCATACATCCTCCATTTCCAGGTATTGTAACAAGTCATAAACACTGTCTCTTCAGCTTACAGAGGGGCTAGTCTAGGACTCCCTTCAACTAAAAACTTCCATGACTTCACTGGCCCAGGTCACAGAGGTAAGAACACAGAGCAGTATTACCTATATATTCCTTCCACAAGGATTAGGATTTTCTTCCAGGGCCTTCTTGTCCGAGGCTGACCATAAACAATGGCATCTTTCAAAAGCTTCTCTAGGCTTTGCATATCTGTGGGACACAGAGAAAGAATTCAGTCCCAAGTAGCTTCCGTCTAAATTTATTACAAAAATATAAATATACAGGTCTTATTCACAAAGTGTCTTGGATAGGAAAGGACATTAACATAATTAGACTTGAACAGAAAAAGTAAGGCAACATGAGTTGCCACCTTCAGTTGAAATATAAATGTGGGGGCTAAAGAGATGACTCAGCAGTTAAGAGCAGGACCAGGTTTGATTCCCAGCAGCCACATGACAGCTAATAACCATCTGTAACTCCAGTTCAGGGAATCTGATGCCTTCTTCTGACCTCCACGGGCACTGCACGACACAGGTACACTCACACACATGCAAACAATATGCTCATAAACATAAAAATATAAATTAAAAAAATATTTTATTTTTATTTTATGTGTACAAGTGTCTTGCCTGCGTGTATGTGAATGCACCCGTGTTGCACAATGCCGCGGAGGTCAGAAGAGGGCTTCAGATTCCCCTGGAATTGGAGTTAAGGATGGTTCATAGCCGCCATGTGGGTGTTGGGAATTGAACCCAGGTCCTCTGCAAGGGTAGTCAGTGCTCTTAACCGCTGAGCCATCTCTCCAGCCCCATAAAATTTTTTTTTTTTTTAAATCTCCCTCAAAGGGGTTGGGCATGGTAGCACATACCTTTAGTCCCAGTACTCAAAAGTCAGAGGCAGGCGGATCTCTATGAGTTCAAGGCCATACTGGTCTACATATTGAGTTCCAAGCCAACTGGGGCTACAGGGAGACCCTGTCTCAAAAAGACAAAAAAAAAAAATCTCCCTGAAGTCTAGGCAACATACTAGTGAGAGACACCACATCGCAAAACTAGAGTTTGTTTATTGCTTATGACTGAGGAGGGGAACTGGAGATAGAGAGATGGCTCAGTGGTTAAAAGCACTGGCTGCTCTAGCAGAGGATGCAGGTTCGAATTCCAGCACCCATACTGCAGCTAACAACCAACTGTAACTCCAGTTCCAGGGAATCCAATGCCTTCTTCTGACCTCCGTGGGCAATGCACAACACAGGTGCACTAACATAAATGCAGGCAATACACTCATACACATGAATTAAAAATAATAAATACTGCCAGGCGTGGTGGCACACGCCTTTAATCCCAGCACTTAGCAGGCAGAGGCAAGTGTATCTCTGTGAGTTCAAGGCCAGCCTGGTCTACATAGTGAGTTCCAGGACAGCTACAGGAAGACCCTGTCTCAAAAAGACCAAAAAAAAAAAATTTATAATAATAAATATTTTTTAAAAAGAAAGAGGGGTGCTGAAGGGCTGGAGAGATGGCCCAGTGGCTGACAGTGCTCACTGCTCTTCCAGAGGAACTGAGTTCAACTGTCAGTACAACCACCCATAACCCCAGCACCAGGAGAACTGATCCACTCTTTTGGTCTCTGTTGGCACCAGCACACATATGGCAAACACACATAAATACACATAAATAAAAATTAAAACCTGATTTTTGCCGGGTGTGGTGGCGCATGCCTTTAATCCCAGAACTTGGGAGGCAGAGGCAGGTGGATCTTTGTGAGTTTGAGGCCAGCCTGGAACTCAGTCCTCAGGAAGAACAGGAAGCACTCTTAACCACGTTGAGACATCTCTCTAGCCTGTGTTTAGTTTTTTTTAAAGTATTTTATATTTATTTATTTATTTTGGTCTTTTTGAGACAGGGTCTCCCTGTAGCCCCAGCTGGCCTGGAACTCACTATGTAGACCAGGCTGGCCTTGAACTCACAGAGATCCTCCTGCCTCTGCCTCCCGAGTGCTGGGACTACAGGCACACACCACCACGCCCGGCTTTATTTATTATTTTTATTTAAGTGTATGACTGTATTGCCTGCATGTATGTAAGTGCACCCATGTGTCATGCAATGCCTGCAGAGGTCAGAAGAGGTTGTTGGATCCCCTGGAACTGAGTTATGAACAGCTGCCAGTCACCATGTGGGTGCTGGGAACTGCAAAGCCAGTCAGTGCTCTTAACTGCTGAGCCATCTCTCCACCCATAAAATATTTCTTTAAAAAATGTTTTATTTATTATTTTTATTTTACATATATGAGTGTATTGCCTGCATGTATGTGAGTGCACCCTTGTCGTACAATGCCTCGGAGGTCAGAAGAGGGCTTCAGATTCTACTGGAACTGGAGGTTAACGACTGCTCGTAGCCGCTGGGAATCAAACCCGGGTTCTCTACAAGAGCAATCAGTGCTCTCAACTGCTGAGCCATCTCTACAGCCCCCATAAAATATTTTTTTTTTAAAAAGCAACAACAAAGAAAAAAGTCCACAAAGGGATTGTTTGTAGTAGAATGCTTGGTCAGAAGATCTACTTGAGAAGCAATTTCAATCTTCCTTCTATCTATCTATAAATTGCAAGTAAATTAAATTATGCCACAAACTCAAGAGAACATATATATGACAATAACATACCCATAAAATGAGTAAGGCAATAAATAAAATCTAGAAGTCAGAGAGTATGATAAAACATTTTGATGTGTCAACACAGCAAAACACTAAAAATGAAAAGTGTGACATAAAGAAGGGCAATTAATATAAATATTTTAAAAGATATTTTATGTGTGTGTATATGTATGTGTGTGTCTGTGTCTGAGTATATGTATGTGCACCATGTGCATGCAGGAGCCCATGCTAAGTCATTTCTCTAGCTTCAAGGCAATACAAAGAGCACCTACAATCCATAAAAAGACATCAGGTTGAGAATAGCCAATTTATAAAGTAGTATCGACAATACAGTAACTACATAAAAGTTGCTATATTCCCCCAAAATAAATAAAAGCCAACATATTATTTATTTATTAAATTTAAAAAGACTTAATATGCTATAGGGCCAAGTGTGGTGGCATATGCCTTTCATCCCAGCACTTGGGAGGCAAAGGCAGGTGGATCTCTGTTGAGTTTGAGGCCAGTCTGGTCTACATAGAGAGTTCCAGGCCAGTCAGGGCTACAAAGTAGGATCCTGTCTCAAAAAACAAAACAATAACAACAAAATGGTACGTAATAGTCCTTGTTGGGCCAGCCATGTTTATTATCTGTATAACACAATTTGGAAAAGTATTAAAAACTTAAACCCAGGCTGGAGAGATGGCTCAGCAGTTAAGAACACTGGTTGTTCTTGCAGAAGACCCGGGTTCAAATCCCAGCACCCACATGGCAGCTAACAACTGTCCATAACTCCAGTCCCAGGGGATCTGACAGCCTCTCCTGACCTCCGTGGGCACTGCACGACACGGGTGCACTGACCTACATGCAGGCAACATATGCATACACTTGAAGAAGAAAAATAAAACAAAAAACTTAAACCCTACCATCTAGGGAGCGGGAGCTGCCTTGAGCACTACTCAGATGGCTGCACAAACATGTGAGTATAGTAGTGTTTCTAGTTGAAAGTTTAGAAAGAAAAAGAACTTAACGTCCAAAGAGAAGAGCTGCTGGGTGTGGTGGCTCACCCCTTTAATCCTAGTACTTCATAGGCAGAAGAAAGTGAATCTCTGTGAGTTCAAGGCTAGCCTGGTCTGCATAGTGAGTTCCAGGCCAGCTGGGGTTACAGGGCGACCCTGTCTCAAAAACACACACAAATAAAGCAATGTGAGGAGCCGATGAACTTACAGTACATCTGGACACTACCATCCTGGCATTAAGAGATGATGAAGAGTCACAAGTTTTGACAAGCTTTTCATATGCATAGTTTTGTTTGGTTGGTTGTTTTGAGAGTCTTCCATGTGCTGGGATAAACCATGTGCACCACCACTTCCAGCCCACATTATTTTTTAAAACAGGATCTCTCCAGAACCTCAAGCTCACAAAAACTGGCTGGCCCCAAGGACCTTCCTGTCTTCATCTCCCCAGTGCTGATTTTCATCTCCCCAGTGCTGATTACAGGAATAAGCTGCCATGCCCATCTTTTCATGTGGGTGCTGGGAATGCGAATTCACATTCTCATGCTTGTGTGGCAAGTACTTTACCAAATGAGCCATCTCCCCAGCTCCTGTCTGCTTTATTTTTTAATAAAAAAAAAAGTGCTGTATATGTGGTGTGTGGTGGGGGCATACCAGGATGAGTGTGGCAGTCAGAGAACAACTTTATGGAGTCAATTCTCTCCTTTTATCTTTAAATGGGTTCAAGAGCTTGAACGCATGTCATCAGGCTTTTGTATAAAGAGCTGTATCTGCTGATCCAGCATCTCACTGGGCCCATCTGTTGCATTTTAAGTGTTGGTTTAACTCTTAAAATCCCTTTGTTAACCAGAGATCCTTAAGATTAGGAATCCTGAGTTATTCTCTCCATTACCAACAGTGTTATGGCAAGACATGCTCTAGCATCCAGTAAATGCACTTGAACAGAGATTTGTAGACAAAAAAAATGAGGTGGAAAACTGGAAAGTCAAGTCAAAGGAAGGCAGTATAATTTTCAAAAAATATTTCTTTCTCTCTCTCTCTCTTTCTCTCTCTCTCTCTCTCTCTCTCTCTCTCTCACACACACACACACACACACACACACATATACACACACAGAACTCAAACTCAAAATCCTGACTCAATCTCCCAAGTGCTTAGCTTGTGATTATGGTCATATGTCACTATAGTCACTTTTCAACTTTCATTTATTTTCTTTGGTTTTTTTTTCCTTGAGACAGGATCTCCCTGTAGTGACAGCTGGCCAGGATTCACTATAGAGACCAGGCTGGCCTTGAACTCACAAATATCTGTCTGCCTCTGCCTCTGCTGGAACTAAAGGCATGTGCTATCACGCCTGGCTTCAACCTTTATTTTATTCCAATGAAGAGAGAGTATCTTTTCTAAAGATTGGACCAGGGGGCTGGAGACATAGCTCAGTGATTAAAAGTACTAGTTGCCCTTGCAGAGGACCTGGATTCAGTTCCCAGCACCCCCATGGAGGCTAACAACTGTCTTTAACTTCAGGGGATCTGACCCTCTTCTAGCCTCCGTGGGATGCACAACATAAAATGCACTTACATGCAGGCAAAACACTCACATACATAAAATAAAAACTTTCAAAAAAGAGAGAGTTTGAGGGCTGGAGAGATGACTCTGCAGTTAAGAGCATTGGCTGCTCTTGCAGAGGACCAGTATCCACATGGAGGCTAAGAACTGTCTGTAACTCCAGTTCTAAGGCATCCCACACCATCTTCTGACCTCCATGGGTACTGTACAAAATGAGTATACTAACATACACGTAGGCAATACACTCATACACAGAAAATAAAAATTGTAAAATATAAAAAGACTGAATCAGAAGATTTAAGTGTTCTACTTCACTGTACCTTTAATTATTAATGCATTAGTATTGTTAATTAATTAAAAATTATTAATGCAATATTATCATCACCACTGTCCCAAAGAATATCAAAAACTAACACAACTCACTGTTGTGTTTGAAGATTCGAATGGTTGCTCCCGACAGTCTGGCTCCTAGAACCAGTGATGCATGGTTCAGTTCATCACTCAAAATCAGGCAACCCTGCAAAAATCACAAGCACAGGAAAGTAAGATGTTGAAAAATGTCGATAATTATTTTCAAAGACACCTTGGAAGTAGGTACGGAATCCTAGCCTGTATATCGCAGCATCTTCACTACCATCCTAAGTATCCTGATGAAGAGCTATAGGTTTTCATTTCTAGTAAAATCTGGTACACCAGACAAGCTTTGGACGACTTTGGTATGGACGACTTATGGTGCCCAGCTTCAACCATTTACTTTTAACCTCAACTGTCTTCATATTTTAAATAGATTTATTTAAATATTGGAAAACTTACTTAACTTCAATCTAATCTGAGAATGTGTGCCTTCTACTTCAATGTATAATTGAAGCTACATCTTTGTGGCATCAATACACTTGGGTTTAAATCTCTTATATTGTTCTTTGCTTACTGTTTATTCCCTCTGTTCCTTACAGAATCAGAGCTATAACTGAATTAGAGTTACACTAATCCTTTTACAAAGGAAACTTTGAGGAACAGAAAAGTAATTTGATTTGTTCAGTCAGGTAAATTTGACCATAAAATCAACAGATAAGTAAAAACTCAAGTCTCCTGTCTGAGTTAATCTACTGCTTTTTTCAACATGTCATTTCTAAATATCAATGTAAAGATAAAAAAAGATCAAAAAAACCTCAAGGGTTCTTCCAAGCTGACAGTGCTAAGCAGCTTAAGTGTAGTTTCAAAAGTATTTTCTCTCCCCTCACTTTAAGTGCCCCTCATAGGCTCTACCACAGCATGAAATACGAATATAGAGAATATTCATGTACATGTTATGTTTGTATATAATTTGCCTACATATTGGAACAACTGTATAATTTCTTTTTATTTTCTTTCATTTTTTTGTTGTTGCTTTTTGAGACAGGGTCTCCCTGTAGCCCCAGCTGGCCTGGAACTTGCTATATAGACCAGGCTGGCCTCAATCTCAGAGACATCCACCTGCCTCTGCCTCCCAAGTGCTGAGACTAAAGAAATACACCACCACATCCATATAGTTTTCTATTTAATCAAAACTATTAACTTTCGGAATTAAACTTTTCTTTTATAATTTTAGACTTTAAAGGGAGTTAGGTTCATCAGAATCCCTTCAAAACTGTACAGGAAGAAGGAAGGACCATGGGTTCTAGAAGACAGCTCCATAGGGCTCCACTGAATATATCTGTCCAAAAAATTGTGATAGAAATACCTTTGGGTAAACTACATTTAATTTAATGTTAACAATAGCTCTTGGCTGGATCTGCATGTTTTTCAAAACAAAAGAACATACACATAGGGGAATTGTCATAAATGACATGTCTTACTTTGCCAACAAGAGCAGGAATGTTCATTGAATTTGTTGCAAATCCCATGCCATAGGCCATAGCAGCTTCCACTCCCAAGAACCTGGCTACAAGTTTCTCTAGCTCTTCATGCTTGTCCAGGTTTCCTGTGTGAAGAAGTTAATTAATAAAGTCAGTATCACAAAACCCTCACTTTAAGAATTACTACTTTATAAAAAGAAACCAGAGATAATAGAATGGATCAGCAGGTAAAGGCACTTGCTGCCAAGTCTGACCACCTGAGTTCAATCTCCAGCACCCACATAGTAGAAGGACAGAGCCAACTTCTCAGATGTCTTCTGACCTACACACAGACACACACACACACAGAGACACATATGCACACACAGGAATAAATAAATGTAATAAAAATGTATTTTTCAACTAAGTTCAAGAAGTTGTATTATACAGCAAGAGCTTATAAAGAACACAATAGTTAAGCAGTGGCACCTTTAGTCTCAGCACTTGGGAGACAGAGACAGAGGAAGGAACATCTCTCTGAGTTCAAGACTAGCCTGGTCTACATAGCCAATGCAACAGAGTGAGAGACCCTGTCTAAAACAAAACAACAACAACAAAAATCCAGTAACTGCAAAACATAACAGCTGATAGCTTCAGATTCAGCAGCTATGGAAAACAGAGAGCCAACTACTTCATGTTTTTACATATTAGTCCTAGCTCTAGGTCCAAACAGATCTAGCAAAGTTTGTGTCTGCATTTTTAAGTCATCAGTCATGCAACGGTGTGACTGGCCTGTTGGGAGATCCTGTCTCCAAACAAAAACGAAATCAGAGTAATAAAATAGATAGACTACAAAGTGACACAAAGATGTAAGGCATGCTTGCTGCATTATCATCCCCATGCTGGTCTCCATAACCACACATGGTTGACCTAGCAGCCTGGGACTTCTTAAATCTACAAAATTTGCTTTAGGCAAGTGTCCCAGCACTCAGGAGGCAGAGGCAGGGAGGCCAGGCTGGCCTACCAAGCTACAAAGCACATTCTAGGCCAGGTGGACTAGGTGTCTCAAAAAAAAAAAAAAAAAAACCTAAAAAAAATTTGCTTTAAAGGTGGGAGATTAAAATGTTATATTGATATTTCCTGGTTGAGCAGTTTACACACACACACACACACACACACACACACACACACACACAAGAAATAAAGTCATAAAATTCCATTTGTGGATACCTGTAATCTTCAATGCAACTAGTGAATGATGGAAAATATACAAATATACAGGTGGAGTGCATTATGGGATGAACTATGTTCCACTAAAAAGATATTCTGAGGGGCTGGGGGTACAGCTCTGAGATAGAACACATGCACAGTATGTACAGAGCCCTGAGTCAGATTCTCAGCACCAAAACTAAACAAAACCAAAATAAAGTCCCAACTCTTGTACCTCAGACTGTGGCCACCTCTGGAAACAAGAGTCCTAACAGAAATAGTCAGGATAAAATAATGGGATGGTGCTAATGTCCTTATAAAGAGGAGCAACCTGGATAGCACGCAAAGAAGACAATGTTTGACACGCAGAAGACAGTGCTGGGACCACTAGCCAAGGAACACTGAGGCCTGCTGGGAAGCACCTGAAGCTGTCTGAGTGAACATGGTCCTGCCAACACCTGCACCCCAAGCTTCTGGCCTCCACAACTGCTAGACTTTGCACTCGGTTTGAAGTCACACTGGTTCTCATTCTTTGTCATAGTAGTCCTAACACACTAACAACTTGTGAACTTTGAAAAACAGACGGTTAAATTCTTACCAAGTGGACAATGATTCAATGAGAAAGAAGTGCATTCACTGTATGGAACCCCAGAGAGGCTTAAAGCTGGAGGCAAGAGGAACCAAAGCAGGCAAGGGTTAAGATTGGGCTACAAACAATATGTTTGAAAGATGATACATACAACACACAATGCCAGGCACTGGAAGCTTAAGCAGGAGGATCACAAGTTCAAGGCCAGCCTAGGCTACATAGTAGCAAGACACCATCTAAAATCATGCCTCCTCCCCAAACTCTTACCTGCCTCCCTCAAAAAAATTCACGTAAACTCCCATTGCTGGTAGGACTAAACAACAATACAGCTTCTCTAGGAAGCAGCTCAAAAAGCTAACATGAGCTAATGGTGCCACACCTAAGTACATACCCAAGAGAAATGAAAATAGTCACTAAGGAAGTATACACTTGTAGCAAAGGAGAAATAATCTAAAAGTCCATCAGAGATAAATGGTTCAAGGAGATGTAGCACATTCCTACAATGAACTGTTACTTAGTTACAAAGTGGAATGGCATGTAGACTATGAAGTACTAATGCATGCTACAACTTGGATGAAACTTGTGAACACTAAGTGAAAGAAGCCAGACACAAAAGACTGTAATATCCTAGGATTCTATGCATATAAAATGTCCAAAATGAGCAAATAAAGACAGAGACTACTGTTGCCAGGGACTCAAGTGACTGTTAGTGGGCCAGGGAGCTCTTTCAAGGGGAATGAAAACATTTAAAATTAAACTGTGGTGATGGTTTCATATATCTGTGAATATACTAGAAGACTATGAAATGTACACTTTTTTTTTTTTTTTTTTTTTTTTTTGAGACAGGGTCTCCTTGTAGTCCCAGCTGACTTGAACTTACTATGTAGACCAGGCTGGCCTTGAACTCACAAGGATCCACCTGCCTCTGCCTCCCAAGTGCTGGGATTAAACGCATGCGTCACTATGCCTGGCTAAAAAATGTCATTTATTATTTTTATTTTATGTGTATGCATGTATTGTCTGCATGTAGGTAAGTGCACCCTTGTGGTGCAATACCCACGGAGGTCAGAAGAGGCTGTTGGATCCCCTGGGACTGGAGTTACGGACAGTTGTTAGCTGCCATGTGGGTGCTGGAATTCAACCCTGGGTCTTTTGCAAGAACAACTAGTGTTCCTAACCTCTGAGCCATCTCTCCAGTCCCCATGAAATGTACACTTTAAATGAGCAAATTATATGGCTCTATAAATTATATCTTAATAAGGCTGTTAAGATGAGAAACAGAAAGCAGCAGTCTCTGCTCCTCCCAATCCTATACAAACAGCCAAGGAATTCTGCCTTTTCTCACCCCAAGTAAAAGAACATGATTCTGAACTCAGGGACCCCAGCTATAAATGTATATACATGCAATGCCAGGGTGAAAAAGGTGATAAAGAACAGGTTTACATACACTCCACCCACTAAATTTCTCAGAAACAAAAAGAAAAATAAAAGAAGACATGAAGGGAAGACCACTGGGAAAATACTATTTTATGAAGGTTTTCTAAAAGTGAGAGCTAAGAAAACTTAGAAATTATGATGACATCAAAAGATATGATTATTCATTTTTAAGGATCCACCAAACACCAAAACAGCACAGCTTTTAGGGGAGTAAGGAGACTCATGACAAGGTATAAATGGAACTTCTTGATACAATGCACACAAAGGTAAGAAAGGCCTCAAAAGCTCTGAAGAAAGACCCCCCAAAAAAGTCACATTTTCACATATACAGAATCTAAATTTGAGTAAATAAATACATCACATGAGGGAGACCATTTGGGGAGCGGAAGAGTACAAGGAGGGTATCAGGTACAAATATAAAAAGTATGATGACATACATGTATTAAAAGGAAATAATGAAACCCATTTATTTTGCAGGTTAACTAAAAATTTAACTCAAAAATTTTAAGTGCTTTGAAGAATACGCAAAGCAAAAAATAAAAACCCAGAAAAACAGCAGCAGTGCTCATTACTGCAGGAAGAGGAGCCACAAGGCTGGACACACACAGGGAGCAGAACTTTCACGCCATGCCCTTTGGAACTCTGAGATAACAATGCTTATGTACTATCGACCCCCAATTGTTTTTAAACTGTAATCTTTTGGATAGAAGGTGTGACAGAAGGAATGACATAATAAAACTGGGAACCAAAAGAGCATTACATTCAACCAGCACTACTGGTGCCAGAGAACAAGGAGGCAACATCCTCACATTCCACACAGAAAGTATTTTCAACCCAGAATTTGGTATTGCCAGTTTCTAATATCCAACTCTCAGTACCCTGCACTCCCACAGGAAACACTAGAGAATGAGCCCTCCCAGCATGAGGGAATGTGTCATGGAGGTATGTACTCCAAATCAGACAAGGGAAAGAAAATTCATGACTTGGCCCTCCAACCTCCCAAATAAAGAAGTACCAGAATGCAACTGTAAAGCAGTCCTATGAGCAACCAGCCCAAACTGAAGGAGGAAAAGGATGGAATTACATTAGGGAAAGAAATAGCTAACATTACATTAGAAAAGAACAGGGTTTTCAAAGCTCCTCCTCCTCCTTGAGCTTACCTAATAGACTTAAGAATTTAAGATGGGCCAGGCCTAATGATGCAGGCCTTTAATTCCAGCACTCAGAAGGAAGAGGCATGTGGATCTCCATGAGTTTGGGATCAGCCTGGTCTACATAGTGAGTTTCAGGTCAGCCAGAGCAGCCTAAGAGGGGGTAAAAATCCAACAGAGGCTCCTTCACCAGTAAGCTGGAATGGGATCCACAAAATAAAACTTTATGACATAGCTATAAAACACACTCTAAGGCCAGGCCTGCTGGCACACTCCTTTAATCCCAGCACTCAGGAGGCAGAGGCAGGCGGATCTCTGTGAGTTCAAGGCCAGCCTGGTCTACATAGTGAGTTCCAGGACAGCTGGAGCTACAGGAAGACCCTGTCTCAAAAAGACCAAAAAAATTTTTTAATTAAAAAAAAAAAAAAACCACACTCTAGATCACTGTGAAAAACTTGTGAAAGGCAAGAAAAACTATGAGATATTGGGGGGGGGAACTAAATAGAATTCAATGTATACTCTCTCAAGTTATTTTAGTTGAAATTTGCAACTCTGTGCAAAACGGACTCCCACCTCACTCGGAGGACAGAAGTCCAGAGCCCAGTTCACAGGTTTCTTTTAAAGACAAGCGGCGGCTTATGTGCCAAGCAGAAAAGCGGTGGCTATGTGCCAAGCAGAGGTAGGGGGAATTTCTGGGATGATTTCCAGCTTGGGCAGAGGAGCATGAAAAAGGTCAGCTCAGCTTGTTCTTAGCATTCAGAATTATTTTTTTATTTTTACTTCCTTGTACAGTTTTTCTCAGGCCTGGGGGATTTTAGTTTAAATCCATTATTCTGGGGGCTTTGGATCCATCATGACTTTCTAGGAAGATGTGCTTATTCTTGACCTACAGCAATGGCCCCACATTTGAGAGAGATTTGGGTACAAAAATCACAGCATGAATGATTGCAGAAGCCTCCTAAGAAACTTTAGTAGCATAGAAATGGAAGTGCTAAAAATCTGTAGCTTGTACATATAGTCTGAAAAGCCCAACTAAATAGAGGATAGGAAAAGCTGCATCATTCTGTTTTTATTTTTTCTTTATTTCATTTTAAAATGTAGTAAGTTGACTGAGTTGTTGTGGTATATGAAATTTGATGGAAATCCTTTATTTTCTTTGTACTCAGAGGTGGGGTCTGATGCCCACAGCCCTTGAACTGGGCTGGGCTGGTCTGGTCTCAGTCACTGGCTTTGACCAATGCAAGGAGATCTTAGTGAAATCATGGTCCTATGAGGCCTGGGCATGAAAAAAAAAAAAAAAGGCTTTCTAGTTTTCACTGGGGAACCTTTGAATGACTGCTCTGAGAAAAGCCTGCTGCCATGCAAGACAAATGATTCCCTGGGACCACCATGCTGTAAAGACGTCCAGAACAGTGACAGGGAAAGCAACAGAGTTCCAGCCATTCCCTCCTAGGAGAAACCTGAGAAACGCTGTGAAATATGACAGCCATTGATCTACCACTGACTGACTGTGTCCAGGGCCCTGTACACAAACCACCAATTGCATTTACCACTCCCTAGACCTGTAAGGACAGTGAGTTACTGATTTAACTGGCTTGGTTTCAGGGGATTCTCAATATTAAGTATCTGAAAAGTGGCCTCATGGTTTCAACAGTTATTAGTTCTCTATCAAAAGTGGAAGAACTTGAAATCTACCTTTGAATTAAAATAAGTCTCTTTACTTAAGATTGTTAATCCTTTACATTTTAGAGACCTGTGGTAAAAGTTTACATTTATAGCCAGGTATGGTGGCCCACACCTTTGATCCTGGCAGAGGCAGAGGCAGAGGCAGGGGCTACTGGGAAACCCTGTCTCAAAATGACCCCCCCCCCAAAAAAAGTTCACATTTATAAAATGTCTAATATGTTCCAGGTGTTTTATATGAATTAGCTTATTTAATTACTGAAACAGATTTACAAGGCAAGAATTATTATTGGTCCCAATTTGCTAGTATGTAAAGAGACTAATACTCGCTGGGCATGGTGGCTCACGCCTTTAATCCCAGCACTCTGGAGGCAGAGGCAGGCGGATCTCTGTGAGTTCAAGGCCAGCCTGGTCTCCACAGCGAATCCAGGAGACTAATACTCATGATACCTGTACAACAAGTGGTATTTTATTACTTACGAAAGTCAATAAAATCACAGTTTAAGTCATAAATGAAACAAATTACAGAACTTTGCTACTGACATTCTACACACGTAATATACTGGAAAACATCGTAAAATGTGTTGCAAACATTAACGTGATTCACCACTTCAGAAAAAGATATTTTCACCTGACTTAAGGTACTTGACAAAGTGTGTGTGTACTTAACCCTGCATCTGTATTACTCAGTCCTGAGTTAAAAGTCTAAGTAGCTGCCAGTCCAACAGCTTACACTTACCAATCTCCTGACGAGTGCTGCACACTCCAACTCCATATTCCTCTAGAACTTTGGCAGCAGCTTCCTGACATGATCCAGTGTTCCTCGCAAATCCAAGATAGTTGTAGGAACCCATGTTTATAACACCTTTAATTATATTCCCTGTGTACCTGTGTTTTAATAGCATAAAACAATGATACTCACAAGTAAATCCAATATGTAAGTATGATACACACTGCAACACAGAAGGAAGCACCAGGCACAGAAGAGAAAATCCCATTAGTACACAAAGATATGTACACGTCACCATGGAGATGGAAGTACAAGAAAACCAATGTGTACTGTACACAGGTACAGACTGCCAAATAATAAATTAAACAGTATTTAAAAACAACGCTCACTTATTAAAAGTAATAAAGATTTAAAAACTAGTGATGTCCAATGTTGACCAGGTTCATCTCATAAAGTAGGAATCAGTCAATATTTTCTTCTGGAGGGCTGTTTGGTAATACTTATTCACTGAAAGTTACATATGCTCTGACTTGGCAACTCCCACACAGGAGCAAGTACTTTAAGATCCTTTAAGGGCCACTGTGCAATTTGCCATGGCCCTCCTTAGTCCCAGGGCCCAGTGATATTCCATATTATGGAAGCTCAGTCCACATTAGCCCCTCAGTAAGGACATCTGCGTTCAGGTGATTGACAAGTTCCCCATCACCCTGAGGTGGAAGTGAAGTGTTGTTGCTTTAATATCCCAGCAATTGGGGTGGCTCAAGATGACACACCTATACAGTTGAGTATTATCAGCCACTACGAATAGTGAACTTGTACTGAACATAAACATAGGACAAATTTTTACAGACAAGTTAGCAAATAAAAAGAACAAAAAATAATGCTGGGCGTGGTGGTGCACGCCTTTAATCCCAGCACTCAGGAGGCAGAGGCAGGCGGATCTCTGAGAGTTCAAGGCCAGCCTGGTCTACATAGTAAGTTCCAGGATAGCTGGGGCTACAGAGAGACCCTATCTCAGAAAGAACAAAAAAAAAGAAAAGAAAAAAAAATAATTTACAGAATGATCCCATTTTTGTGTAGCAAAAAACTACCTGCAGGGTAGATACATGACAAGTATTCCTACAGAAAATAGCCGAAGGACCAATGCAAAACAAAAGTGAAAGCAATGGGCACCTTTGGAGAGCAAAGGCTTTGTGGAAAAATGTATTTGCACAAAGACCAGGGTAGCTGTCATGAAACTTTCAGGTTATCTACATCGTTTATCCTTTTTAGAAAGAAATAATAATGGCAGGCATGGTGGCGCATGCCTTTAATCCCAACACTTGGGAGGTAGAAGCAGGTGGATCTGTGAGTTCAAGGCCAGCTTGGTCTTCTACATAGTGAGTTCCAGGCCAGCTGGGGCCACAGGGAGACCCTGTCTCAAAAAGATGAAATATTTTAAAAATAAAAAAAAGAATTGTATAATATTCGTGAAATCTAAATAATAAAATGCTAAGAATATAGGTTTTTGAACTAGTGTTATTTATGAAAAAGATTTCATACATTCAAATCATCTATCCTTAATTATTAGAAACCAAAATACCTAGCAATCAATTCAAAGAATACATTTCTCCTTTTTAAAAAATATGAATTTTGTTCTCAACTATAATCCAATACAGAAACAAATGAAACAGAAAAAATGTATTTTAAAAGTTTCAGTGAGGAGTCGAACATGGTGGTGCACACCTGTAATCCCAGTACTTGGGAAGCAGAGGCAGGCAGATCTCTAAGGTCAGCTAGCAAGTTCCAGGCCAGCCAGGAGTACGTAGTGAGACTCTGACTCCAAAAAGAAATTTCAGTGAGGGCTGGTGTGTAGCTTGTTGCTACAGCACTTATCTGGCATGTTGTGAAGCCCTGTGTTCAATACCCAGGAATCCCTAAAAATGCCAATGCTGAATGGACAGTATGCAAGGAAACTAATCATATTTTATCTTCTTGTTTTGTGAGAATAATCTTCTTAAATAAACAAATTCTTTTGTTGCTAAGAAATCATTTCCAAACATGACTCACTTGAATGACCAGTTATAGTCATGAGAATGTCTCTCCATGATGTCCACCCTGGCTCCAGGCACACTACAGATAGGGCGATTCCAGTTGTCTCTTATCCTCATGTAGAGGTTCCTGGTATAGAAGTTTTCAAAATCCTGATACAATGACACAAAGTCCTGCCAACAAATGGGGAAAAAGTATAAATTTAACTGAATTACCTCAAACACAAATCTGGCAATTTTTCTTTACATACGGCAGGAGCATCTCAGGAAGATGTCAATCATATTTAATTAACTGACATATCAAAAACATGTTTGAAGAGGCACCGATTCTGTTTATTTATTTTTTAATATTTTATTTATTATTTTAATTTTATGTGTATGAGTGTATTGCCTGAATGTATGTGAGTGCACCCATGTCGTGCAACGCCTCGGAGATCAGAAGAGGGCTTTGGATTCCTATTTTAACCCTTGTTGATCAGGTAAAAGTCACTTAATTCTGATGTTTAACCTATATTACATGGTTTCAAATAACTGATCCCATAAAATTTAAGACTTACAGCCTCATAAAAATAAAATGCAGTCATACAATTCTGTCCAGAAAAATACCTAGCAATCAATTCACTAGTACTGGCCCTCCAATACTATGCTAGGGGGAGAGTCCATAAAACCATTATATTCCCAGTTTCAAACATGAAAAAGAACTTCAAAACATACGATTTCATCCTCTGCATATGCTTAAGGATCAAAACAAAACAAATCCAAGAAATGATTTTTTAAAAAAACACTAAAACATAGGATAGGAAATGTCATCCACCTTGGGTTTTTCTCTCAGAAGTTCAGAAAAATACATTTGTGGTAAGAGAGATGGCTCAGCAGTTGCTCTTGCAAGACTCAAGTTTGGACCCCAGCACCCAACATTAGGCAGCTCAGAACCACCAGTTCCAGGAAATCTAATACCTCTGGTCTCCATGGACACTTGCACTCACATGTACATAGCCACACAGATACACACATACACATAATTCAAAATAATAACAATCTGCTGTGCATGATGATAAACACCCTTAACCCCAGCACTCAGAAGCCAGAGACAGATGGCTCTCTGTGAGTTCGAGGTCAGTCTGGTCTACATACTCACCTCTAGGCCAGTCAGACTACACAGTGAAACTACTGTGTCCGAAAATAAAATAAAATAAAAATAATAATCTTTTTTGTTAAAAGAGAAACAGCCAGCTATGGTGGCCCATGCCTTTAATCCCAGCACTTGGGAGGCAGAAGCAGGAGAATCTCTGTGAGATTGAGGACTGCCTTGTCTCCATAGTGAGTTCCAGGCAACTGGGGCTACAGGGAGACCCTGTGTTGAAAAAGCAAAAAAAAAAAAGGAAAATACATCCTGAAAATGGACTCCCTGGCCCACAGATTCAGACTCCCTTTCCTCTGAGATTAAACTAAAATTTTAGTCTATAAGAAATTCAGTCATGCAACTGATAGCTGCTGGGAAAGGGAGAGTCAGTTTTCTTTTAAGGCTGTGACACTGGGTAGATTAACCAGGCTCCTGTTGATAAGTCCACACAGAAAGGCATTTGAGAAGCATTTTACATGAAATCAGGAGGCTGGGGAAATAGTAAGGGGAGGTGCAGATAGGATGGGGGGTTGAATATGATCAAAATATACTGTATGAAATCCTCAAATATTGAATTTAAAAAACTTAAGAATTAGGCCAGGCGTGGTGGCGCATGCCTTTGACCCCAGCACTTGGGAGGCAGAGGCAGGTGGATCTCTGTGAGTTCAAGGCCAGCCTGGTCTACATAGTGAGTTCTAGGACAGCTGGGGCTATAGGGAGACCCTGTCTCAAAAAGACCAAAAAAAAAAAAAAAAAAAAGAATTAAAAACAATTTTTTAAGAAAGAACTTCAATCACAGTGGAGCTGAAATGAACACCTTAGTGCTATGCCCAGTGTGATATGACCCTTGCTCAGAACATACATGACGAATCTGCATGAGAGTTAACTTCAACTCTCAACTCTCCAAGTAAAATCAAACAGAAAAAGTGGAAGTGTTGTTTACTACAGTCAACACACCAAAGCTCAAAGCAGTGGCTGACTACATGAAGGGCTGGAGAGAGAGCTCAGCGGTTAAGAACACTTAACTGCTCCTGCAGAGGACCCAGGTTCCATGCCTAGCATCCACTTGGTAGCTAAAAACCATCCTTAACTCCAGGTCCAGGGAATCCTAAGCTCTCTTCTGGCATTCACAGGCACTAGGCATGCACCTGATGTACTTACCATACACGTAGGCAAAACACTCACACAAATAAAAACAAAATCTTTAAAAAAAAAAAAAGAAAACAAACTACATGAAATTCAAAAATCAACATTTTATGGATGGCAGTGCCTACGATATAAGCCTAACAGTAGATACCATCTCTTTAAACAGCTGAGCAGAGACAGAAAATGTTTGCAGATCTGACACATCTCTCTCTTAATTCCTTTTATTACTTACCCTTTCTTTAGGGCAGAAAATTTCCCTAAATAATATGTCTATCACAACTAGAAACCAGGCTTTTTTTTTCAGTGTCCATGTATCAAAATTTTATTTATCTCAAGCTGTGATAATGGAGTAAAAACTTAAGTTGAAATGTGCCTGTTATAAAGAGTTATAAAGATGGTATTAGCTCAAATATATACACGGATTCTTGGAAGACTGATTCAAATAAGAGTCAAATCTTTTAAAATATAACTATAGAAAATAAGGGAGAGGGCGACTTTAAAATATCATAATAAATGTACAGAAATACCTTAAACAGTAACTTTTTTTCTTTCTTTCTTTCTTTCTTTTTTTTTTTTTTGGTCTTTTTGAGACAGGGTCTCCCTGTAGCCCCAGCTAGCCTGGAGCTCACTATGTAGACCAGGCTGGTCTTGAACTCACTGAGATCTGCCTGCCTCTGCCTCCTGAGTGCTGGGATCAAAGGCGGCCGTCATCACACCCGGATTCAATATTTCATGTTTTTTTAAAAAAATATTTTATTCATTATTTTTATTTTATGTGTATGTGTGTATTGACTGCACGTAGGTAAGTGCACCCATGTCATGCAATGCCTGTGGAGATCAGAAGAGGCTGTCAGATCCCCTGGGACTGGAGTTACAGTTGTTAGCCGCCATGTGGGTGCTGGGATTTGAAACCCGGTCTTCTGCAAGAACAACCAGTGTTCTTAACTGATGAGCCATCTCTCCAGCCCCAATATTTCATGTTTTTAAAAAATTCTTGAACAGCTGGGCATGGTGGCACACACCTTTAATCTCAGCACTTGGGAGGCAGAGGCAGGTTGATCCTCTGTGAGTTCGAGGCCAGTCTGGTCTACAAAGTGAGTTCTAGGCAGCTGGAGCTATAGGGAGACCCTGTCTCAAAAAGACCAAAAAAAAAAAAAAAAAATTCTTGAACAAAATGGAAAAGTGGGACTGAACAAAAGCTATCATAAATTACCAATGATGAGCTGGAGAGATGGCTCAGCTATTAGGAGCACTGGCTGTTCTTGCAGAAGACCGGGGTTCGAATCCCAGCACCCACATGGTGGCTAACAACTCTATAACTCCAGTATCAGGGGATCTGACATCCTCTTCTGTCCTTTGTGGGCAGGGCACGACACTCATAAACATAAAATAAAAATAAATTGCCGGGCATGGTCTTAAGAAGACCAAAAAATAAAAAAATAATTAAAAAATAATTTTTTTAATGTCTATGAGTGTTATGCCTGCATGTAGGTAAGTGCACCCATGTCATGCAATGCCCTCAGAGGGCAGAAGAGGCTGTCAGAACCTCTGGAACTGAAGTTACGGACAGTTGTTAGCTGCCATGTGGGTGCTCGAATTTGAACCTGGGTCTTCTGCGAAAACAACCAGTGTTCTTAACTGCTGAGCCATCTCTCCAGCCCCCCAAAATAAATAATTTGGGGGGGGGTTGAGACAGGGTCTCCTTGTAGCCCCAGCTGTCCTGGAACTATGTAGACCAGGCTAGCCTTGAACTCTCTGCCTCCCAAGTGCTGGGATTAAAGGCGTGCGCTACCACACCTGGCAAAAACTAATTTTTTTAAAAAAATCAGTACAATCTGAAACTTTTGCACTTTTAAGTAAGACCATGAAAACGGCTTTGCCAGTACTTAATCTAATTTATTTTCCTTTTGTACAATTTTTAAACAATTAAAATGTCCAAGTTCAAATAAATTTCATCCTTTCATGTTTATAGTTGGCCTAAATTTAAGCTGCAGAATCAAAATTCAGCACATAGCCTTTTCTCCAAAAATACTGGCAAATTCTCAGCTTTTATGAATAGACATTTTGAATGCCATGTTTATCTCAACAAATACTGTGCAAAAGTTGTTTGCAAACATTCAAACTTTTTTTTGAGGCCTGGAGATTAGCTCTAAATATTACTGATAAAAACATCTGTAAACGTCCTGCAAAGCCCCCACCATACGTACCACTAGAACTTTATAGAGTTTTGCATACTTTCTTCTTGCAGGTTCATTCTCCCCTTCTCCCCACCACCCTCTGGTTTTCTCTGTACAAAAATATGACTCCCCAAAAGAAGTCCCAGGATCTCTCATAAAAGTTTTCTCGTTGGCATTGTGGTTTTTTTTCGTGAATTCATAGATGTCATTTGCTGCGGGTCTTGAGGGCTTTTTTTTGCACATACCAGGTTATTTGTCCAAGCTGTTTCTTACTCTCCTTTGCACCCCTCCAAATTCCTTATTATTCTTTGAAAGCCTCTCCCCTCCAGTTTGCTGTCCAACTGTCTCTGACTCCTGAGCACCAGGATTAAAGGTGTGCATACCCAGTTTAGCTGGTATTCTTGATGGCACAGGAGATTAGCAAAAGGGTCAGATGAAGGCATGCTTGGTGGAACACACCTTTAATCCTAGCACTCCAGTGGAGTTGTGAGCTTGAGGCCATCTATTCTACATATTGAGTTCTAGGCTAGATGGAGCTACAGTGAGACCCTGTCTCAAACAAACCAAAACCAAACCAACCAGCTACCAGCTGAGTCAAAGTAGGGAAAGAGGCATCAAAATCTAAAGCTTTTACTTTAGCTATTATTTACCATGCATTTGTTCCTCAAAGGAAAAACAAAAAAGTAGTCTTCTACTCATATCAACTGGGGTAACAGTACTAATTTCTT